AATCAAACTATTTGTCTTCTAAAATCATCTGGCCGACTAATTCTGATTGAAGCATAGAGCAAAGTGTCAAAGCTACAAGGCTGAAAGCTGTTTGCCAATCTTTGCATTTATATATGAAATTATGTATGCATGTATGAATTTATAATGTGTAAATGCATTTATGTATGTGTGCTTATATGAATTTATGTATGAATGCGTAGACCTAATATGCAGACCAATTTCGCAATGCAATGCTTTTCCATGCGATTCTCAAAAATTCTAGTGTATACATATTTTGACTTTACTTTGTCATATACATATATAATATGGATCTCAGTTTTCCTCTTCTTATTCTCATTCCCTCTCCTTTGTTTTCCCTTTGTATTAATCAGTTTGTCTCTCTGTCATTCTCGTCTCCTGTTCAAAATGTCCATATTGTGTTCTTTAGCCCTATTTGTCTTCCCTAATTGTCGTCCCTCTCACTCACTATGTCTTTTGCTATATCTTTCTCTCATTTTCTCTATAGGTAATATAGAGAATCTTTGTCTTTCTCATTCTATTCTGTCTATTTCTCTCTCTCTCTCTCTCTCTCTCTCTCTCTCTCTCTCTGTCTCTCATTCTCTTTGACATCTCTCAATGTCCATTTTTTTTTCTTCCCTCTTTCCCTTTCTCCCTTACTCCCACTCACACTTCTACTACTTCTACTTCTTTCTTCTTCTCTCTCCCCCTCTCTCACACTCCCTTCCTCTCTCTCTCTCTCTCTCTCTTTTCTCACCCATTTTTAAATACATGAATATGTACAAAAATATCCATTTAACTTTAAGATAAACACACATTCAGTTTGTATACATGAATTGATGAGTATTTGCCTTGTTTACACTCCTTTGTTGTCTGATATTATATACGTAATATTCTAAATGGCTTTTACTGTACAATGGGTTCTGGAAACACAATCTACACTCAATATACAAATGTTCTGGCAGTTATTTTTAGCCCAAAATGATGACAAGCTGTTGCTTGTGTCAATATATATATTCCGGATAGGTCATTTGTGGTCATTAATGTTTCAATTGTATTCTCTTTATGCTTGATTTGTTCATTAAATTATTCTCTTATCATAATTACATTTAAATGCTTAGAAACAGATCAGATTCCTATCGATAGGAAAAAAGTGGGATAAATTTAATAATATATTATAATTTCAAAATTCAACTGACTTATGTACATGTCAATATAAATTCTACCCCTTATTCCCTCTGCCTCGCGCAGACATCGCAAAATAAATTAGACTTTTAATTACGCTTAATTAAGAGCAATTAAAAAACAAATTTTTTCGTGCATTCCCGTTTGCTCAAACATCGCTCGGCTCGACAACAAATTAGGCAAATACAGTAAATAATTTTTAAATGTTTTTTCTCCTCCGCCTTTTTTTGGCATTTGGCGATCGCATAAAAAGAATTTCGTGGGACTTTTTCAATAAGCCCCGAGCAGCTTATTGAATCTGTTTCTGTTTATTGTTGTTGCTGCATCTTTTGTTGTTGTTGTTGTTGTTGCTGCTGCTGCTGCTTTAGTTGTTGTTGTCGTCTATGTTTCACCTTCATAACGAATGTTTATTATATTTTATATATATTTATTTTTTGCACAGAGGGCTTTGAGTTTTTGGCTGTCGCCGCTGTTGCTGTTGCTGTTGTTTGATTAGGCGTCTAGGCTGACACATGGGGGGCACTTAGTCTCACACATACAGAGACAGATCGACCGATACAGTTACAGATATATACATATACAGATGCCAAAACGCCGCGCCGGCACAGACACGCCCCGCCTCGTGTTCGCCTCAAACGGACGACACATGTATATGATATTTTACACAAATGTGCAAATTTAATTAAATTCAAACGAGAAATAAATATAAAACACTTTGCCTCGACATAAATATATATTCATATGTATGTGTATATATATTTATCTCTAAATGATGTGTTATAATGTGCGGTATGTTCATGAAAATAAGAAGATGCGGATAAACATGAACAGCAACAACAACATTCAACTTTGATACAATTTGCTTAGCAAACTAAGCGCACAAATAAAGCATTTCTTACACATTATTTATAAGCCAGACATAGCCATAATGCATGGAAATATACATGAGAAACACTAAACACTAATAGAGCTCAAACTCAAGAGTGCGTGACTACGAGATATCCTAAGTGGCTTTTACAAAGACTCTAGCTTAAGGTATGAATTGGGAGCCATTTGATGCATATGACTTAAGCAGCTTTGCTTCCCTAAATCTTATGGGGAAGATAAGTGTTTACCTAATAGAAAGTATGAAATATAAGTACTAATTCAAATGACTTTATTTCTCAGCTTTTTAGCTGTTTACGTAGCAAAAAAGAAAGCCTTAACTGACTCAAACTGAAGACGATTTTCCCAATTTTACCAAGCCCCAAAGAACATTTGCATAAAACTAATATACTCCTTTCTCCTTTATAAAAAATTATTGATTATTTAATACAAACATTAACACTATTAATCTACCTAGCACTTACTCTGATATCCACAATGTTATATTAAAACCGATATACCCTTAAAATAAATACAAATTCGATGTATACATTCAACAATAAAGTTTGATTATTAACAATTTTTCAACAATGCAAATACGTGGAAAATTTAAAATCAAGTTATTCACATTTCTGAGTACTGCGAAAGAAAACAAACGATTTATTTCATTGTTAAATAGTGTAAATGAAATTTCAAAATGTTTGCCTTTGTCGAAAGGCAAACGAATAAAAAATCTTCCGCTTATATGTAAAACGTTTGTAAAATTCGTTCACATCACACGAATGCAATTTGATATATGCGATTTATGCGAATGATTACAGCTGCTATAGCTAGTATACTAATAATACCTGAGGGAATTGTGTCAGCATTGAGGCGCTCAGCTATTTATATTATGCAGTTCATATTTATTCAGAGCACATGTAAAAGAAAACAAAACATGTTGTGGAATATGCTCATTATTTATAAAACCTAATCTACAACTATGTCAACTAAATGATAACATCGGTCACTTGGGTTTCCGAATCAAATGAATCATAATAAAAATTAAGAATCGCGTAGAGCTCCAAGTGAGTCATATTAGATCAGCAAAATATATATATGTATAAAATGAATATTAATATATGTATATGTGTATACATTATCATTTAATTAATTTCTTGATTGACTTGAATTGAGAGTTATTAAAACAAAGAATATCTAGAATTTGTGAGAGCCGAGAAATTCGCAGTTCTCGACTTCAATTATTTAAATACGAAATGTGAAATATAATTTGTCTCTTTGCGCTTTATGAGACTTTCAATTCAAGTATTTTATCGACGCTATCGGCTTTGATAATACGCGTCCAAAATATAAATTTAGAATTGAACTCTGAAACGGCGCTTCCTCGCTTAGTTATCAGATAAGCTTAGTAATTTCGCCCAGGGGGCGTTGATTCCACTATATAGCGCATGGCGGCTATTTTCTTGAAGAATTTCAAAATTCGCTGTCTTGCCATAAAGATAATTAAAT